CTCGCGTTGCCCCCGGGTACGTCCCGCTTTGGGTGTCGCCAAACAGAGCAATAAACGCAGGGTGTGCCAGGACCCTGGGCTGGGACTGGTCCCACAGGAGGTTAATGCAGCAGCGTGTATAGGAGAGAAACCATTCGTCCTGCTAGAGGAGGAAAATCAGCCGCTGCCTCCCCAGCATCAGGCTTGTTGGCTTCAGACAGCCCTTCCTTGTGTGTGTTTTGGGGGATGCTCTCTGCTCACATTCAGGCCGTGCTGGACGTCAGAGCAGCAAACACGGCTGTGAAAGGTCCTCGTCCTCTGCTTAACCTGCTGCCGGGAGAGTGGGCAGGCTGAACCCGGAGCGGGAACTGAGGCAAAACCGGGGTGATTTTGGAAGGGAGTGAAGAGCTGGAGAGCGTATTGGGGCAGTGCTGGGGCAGGCTGGCAGGGTCCCTTTTTTCTTAAGTGTCTCTATAAGAATGCAAGGAAACTCTCCAGCAAGCTGGCTCTGTAATACAAGGGAAAGCACGATGGAGGAAAGATGAGGGGAGCTGACAAAAACCTATCCAGGCTGCCTTTCTGCTCTCCAGAGCAGCACATAAACGTAGGCTGGCTTCCCCCGCTCCTGCAGCCCACTCTTAAGGGAATACTGGTTGAAAATGCTGGGATGGCACTGTGCTTCCCAAGCTTGGAACACAACCAAAGGCCCCAGATGACACCTCCCTCCAAGGGGACTGTTTGCATCAGTACAAAAAACAAAGCCGAGCGAGGCTGGGATGTGGGGCTGTGCATGGAATGGAGCAGCGGGAATGCTGTGCTCCACAGTGACCTGCTGGGCTCCAAGAGAGGGGTCTGGAAGATGCAGCTGCACCGCTTCAGCACATGCAATGCTGTCCTTGTCTCTGGCATCGTGCCCTGGGCTTGGATCCGTAGGGAAAACGATTAGCTCTGCCTCTGGATTCGGACAGTGTCACACGCTCCACAGCAATGTGGATTGGCACCAAGCGCAGCTGCGGGGCCAGGGGGACCACAGTGCATGATACGGAAATGACTTCTCTTCCCTAGGGAAGCAGGGTTGTTGCTTCCAAGACAAAGTGGATGTTGTAACCCTCAGCACACAGCAGTGCTCCTGGCACAATTCCATCCCCTCGGACATTACCCTGCTTCCATCCGCTCGGGTTTTCCTGGGGCACCGGCAGTTTTGTAAGCTCTAAGAGCTGGAGGAAGGATTGTGTCCCACGTTATCCTGGGTCCGTCCACATTAGGTGCATCCTCCTCCTCATTCTGGTGGGGACATCTGGGGAAAATCAACTGAAAAATAGGAGGTGAATGGTCTGAGCTAAACCCTGCACGTCAGCACCAGAGGAACTACTGGGGTTTGTGCTTCATCTCCCAGTCTCTTTCATCCCAGTTCTTTAGATCTGGTTTCATAAGGAGCTCACTAGAGTCAGATGCCCAATTCCTACTGAAGCCTAGTGGGAAAGGGATGGGATTTTCAAAAGCTGCTTAGAGCAGAAATTGCATGAAAATTCATTGGGTGTTTGTTCTTCTACATCCTGTGGGGTCTCCTGAGAATCCTATCATCAGGAAAAGCTTTGGCCCTTTGTGGCTCAGCACCGGTGTCTTTGAATGTGAGATCCCAGCAGACTGTAGCTGCCCTTTTACCCACACTGACTACTTAGATTGAAGGTGTTTCTTACCTCCCTTTGTTGTGTGGTAGAACTCAAAGGTGATGGATTATTTCTGGTGCAGCCTTCCAGCCTCTTGCTGACGGATAGGGCTGATCCTGGGTAGGTCCATGTAGTGCAGTGGCTTGAAGATGATGCTGGGTGGGAGAAGCAAGCCCCAGAGGCAGCTGGGTCCTCTCGGAGTGTCTCACTGCCTCCTTTTCCCCAGGTCATGCGCTACCAAGTTCTGCTGTCACTGATGCTGTCCAGCCAGACCAAGGACCAGGTGACATCGGCTGCTATGCTGCGCCTCCGGCAGCGCGGCCTCACCGTCGACAGCGTTTTGCAGATGGATGATGCCACACTCGGGCAGATCATTTATCCCGTGGGATTCTGGAGGGTGAGTGCATGTAGAGGAGCACCTCCACTGCTCCGTGCGCTTGTCTGAGGTGGCTCCGGGGCCCTGGAGAGGAGCTCACATGGGTACAGGCTTGTCCTCTGCAGCGCAACTCGTGGCCAGTCACTGAGCTGGCGGGAGGTGGTGAAGGAGAAATCAAAGAGCTCTGTCTCCCTTCCACAAACTCCAGTGTGTGGCCTCACGTGGAACATACATTCAGGAATGGTTTGTTTCCTGAGCTGTTTGTCTCTTCTCCCTGTATTTGAAGGCAACTTGGATTTTCTGCCTTTCCCCTTGGTTTTCCAGAACAAGGTGAAGTACATCAAGCAGACAACAGCCATCCTGAAGCAGAAGTATGGGGGAGACATTCCGAGAACTGTGGAGGAGCTGGTGCAGCTGCCAGGAGTTGGGCCCAAAATGGCTCACTTGGCCATGAACATTGCCTGGGACAGCGTGTCTGGGATAGGTAGGTTGGACCATGTGTTTCCCATTCCTTTCTTAAATCCTGCCTCTCCTACATGTTCACGTATTCCCCACGCAGAAGGGGAGCATTGCAGCTGGGTAAACTGCCTGCCCCAGGAGCATCGCTTTAGTCATCTGCAGAGTATTTGGGTGGGTGAAGGATGTGACCCTCAACCACTCACACAGAGGATGCGTTGCTGTAGCGTGGATCCAACTACTGTTGTCCCCAAGGGCAGCCTCTCCCTCCCCTCAGATGCTGGTGGGCAATGCAAGTATTGCCTCATTGGGTTGGCATCCAGAAAGATGTGCTAGCAGAGTAATGCTTTGATTTCTCTTTGGTGTCAAGTGAAAGAGAGGAGAGGGGAATTCTGTGATTTGGAGACAGCTGTAGGATAGTCTGAAGCTGGTTTTTAACAGGGTTGCTTCTGTTTAAACAAATCTCACTGGGCATTTCTGTGTGACAAGCTGTTAGAGGGCAGAAGTAGGGCTTAGTCAGAATTACCACTTGAAATCAGTACTTCATGATGGGTGGTAGAAAGAAATGGCCTCAGGCAATCTGTAGCTAGGGAGTCTCTGGTCTGGTTTAGTTCCTGCAGCTGCCTAAGAGGTGACCACAGGTCCATTTGTTTGTTTGCCATGTCTGTGGAGCAGAGAGCGCAGGGCTGTAGCCACGGAGCTGTCTGCTTCAGCTGGAAGATGACCTTTGAAGGTCCCTTCCAACCCAAACTGTTCTCTGATTCCAAGCCTGCGGAGGAGCGAGCCCAGGGCAGGCTTGTGGAGCGTGGCTGGCAGCAGAGCTGCCCGCAGCAGCCAGCAGATGGGGCTGGATGCTCAGCTGCAGGGTCCCTGCCTGGGGACCTCTGGGGACACATTAATATTCCAAGTGTAGTTGCTGCTTATGGAGGAGCCCTGGGAGCTCTAGGAACGGAGCCACCTGATGAATGGCTGCTGCTGCTGCGAGCACACAGCCCAGGGCTCATTCCTGCAGCCCCACTGGTGCCCATCAGCTGTACCAGATGTGGCTTTCGATTCAGACTGGGGTCTGATGTGCTCTCCCTGCTGTGGGGGAGGGAGGGCTGGAGGGAGCCAAACAGACCAACTGTTTTGCAAATAATGGTGTGCTCAGTTTTGATTTAGGAGGCACGACTTTGTCTTCCTGTTTACAGCAGTTTCCTGGGGTTTGCCCAATTAGCCATAGAGACCGGTTTATCGCTGCTGATCTAACAATAATATACTTTGCATTCAGGGCTTTTTAGCTCAAAGCACTTGATAAACAAATTTTAAGCCTCACAAACCCTCTTGTGTTGGTAGGTATTATGAAATGTGTTTTCCATCTGGGTAAACTAAAGGGCAGAGATTGCAACTTGTGTAACATCAGCTGAAACACAGGAGGAAGAGAACCTGGGACAGGCTGCCCTGTGCCTGCTAGATCACAGCAAGCAAACCTTTGAAGGGAGGCTGGGTCAGGTTGAGTGTGCCACTGGTGGGTGGTATGAGATGACATCCATCCCATCTTGCTTTTGGCCCTGGGCCTAGGAAGAAAGCAGCACATTTGTCCTGTGAATAAGCCTCCCCTCCTGTTCCACCTGCCTGTTCCTGCTGGCCCATGAGGAATCCCATGCAGGGCACTGGACCTGGTGTGCTGTGACCACAGCTCTTGGCTGTGCTCTCTCCGTTCAGGTGTGCCTGCCCCCACCTAAACTCTGGGCTCTCCCTCCCTTAGCTGTGGACACCCATGTGCACAGGATCACAAACAGGCTGCAGTGGGTGAAGAAGGAGACCAAATACCCTGAGGAGACCCGGGTGGCGCTGGAGGACTGGCTGCCCAGGTGAGCCCCCTTCCTCCACACGAAGCCCCAGAGCTGGCTGCAGCAGCCAGGCCTGCACATAGTCTGCTTCTAGCCTTTCCAGTGACTGCATTTTGGGTCCCTCCTCTTTACGGGGTCTACTCTGCGGGTGTTTCTCCTCTCCCAAAGAGCTGCAGCATCTCAGCTCTGTGGTTGTTTCCTGGCTATCAATCAGGCACTACTGCAGCCAGGTACCTGGAGGGCTAGATGCCCAGTTCTTACCCTGACAAGTTTAGCATGATCCAAGCCAGCTGCTTTTCTACACAGGCCCTTGCTGAGCCCATTGGCCACAGCAGTATCAGACCAGGGCTGGATTCTGGCCTTCATTGATGCTTTCATCTTCAGCATCACATGCCAGCTGATGCTGAAGATGAAACATCACATGGGTACTCTTGCATCTCCACATCTGGTGCGTGCCTTAGCACAAGAGAATGACCACAGACACTTGGTGTGTCTGTTCTCTGCTCCCCAGCCCAGTTCAGAGGGCTCAGGAAAGGTTGGGAGGGCTGTTCTTAGCAGGAGGCTGGGAGCCGCCTCCAGGCGCCTGGGGAAGCCAAGAGGAACAGGCAGTAGGCGAAAGGGATCCATTTAAAAGCACGGGCTGTTCTTTAACCCCTCCAAGCAGCTGTATGAGGAAGCTCATGTTTTTCTCTCTCACTGCAGGGATCTCTGGAGGGAGATAAACTGGCTCCTGGTGGGCTTTGGCCAGCAGACCTGCCTGCCTGTGAACCCGCGCTGCAGCGAGTGCCTCAATCAAGACATTTGCCCGGCTGCTAAGAGACACTGAGGGATCATCTGGTCTTTGTAGGACAACAAAGCTGCTTCTGCTCAGTGGTAGCCTAGAGCTGAGCCCTGGCAAAGCTGTGCTGTGCATGGGGCTGCCTGTGTGACTGCAGGGAAACAGGAGCCTGCTGCAGCCAGCTCAGCATCGCTGGGGAGCGAGCAGCCGCTGGCAAGGGCTGAGCTCTCGAGAGGAAGAAGGGTCTTTTCAGAGTGCAGCAGTCCTGCTGGGTCAGTGCTGAAGGCTCCAGCCCCTCTGCGAATGCCTGGGCCTGCCCCAGCTGTGCTGCAGAGAAATGCTTTGGCCTGGCAGACTTGCTGCTGCTTGTAAATACACATGTAATAAAGGTGGCGGGTTGTTTCTACCCAGGAGGTTTGCTGGCATCTGTGCAAGGCAGGGCACAGGAGAGCACAGAGGACCTCACCACAGTGTGAGACCAGAGCAACCAGCCCTGCCAGTGAGAGCAGGCTGCACACAACCTGCCCAGCCACCTCCTAGCCCAGGCAGCGAGGGGCAACTAAAGACAACTGAGGAGCCAGGATCAGAGGAGGGCATTACCTGGACAAGTGACCTGGGTCCTGGTAGAAGAGCAGGGGGTAACGCAGAGCAGGGAGGGCATCACTTGGTTCTGTTCGTGCCAGGAAGGGTTACAGTGGCCACAGGCTGGCGTGTGCCTCAGAAGCTGACAGGAGGGACACCACCACCGCTGGTGTTTTGTTCTTCAAAGAAAGGGCAGCGCTGACTTCATTGTAGAGCTTCAAAGGAATAATTTCAGCTACTCTTTAAACAGGCAAGGGAGGAAGCAAAGTTTATAATGTGCTAAAGAAGGCTGTAATTCCGCTCTCAAGTTCCCTACCAAACAGATGAGGAACGAGCAAATAAGTACATGGGAAAACAAAGTTTATTACTGACATTACAGCGGACATTATGGTTTTGCAATGCAGCTGACAGCCTTATACTTTATTGATTTTTTTTCCAAGTTAAATGTACAGGAACTGAATGATTATTACTGAGCTACAAGATGTCAGGAATACGATAAGTGCTTTAACCAGGAGCAGTTTCCATGGAGTAAGCAGAGATTAAGATTTTTAAATCTTATCAGTACAGATTTGCACACCTGATTTCCTTTGATCTGCATTCAAAACTACATGTTCTCTTTTGTCCCCCTCCTCAACTACAGCAGTGCAGTCTGGTGTGAGAAATGGGCTATTTACAAACAGGTCTTTGCTCTCCCACATGCATCAGAGTGAGACAGTGAGGCTGGTGGAATGGGGAACGTTCTGCCCTGCGCAGACCAGGGCACTGCTGGGGCTTTGGCTATGCAGGCACGGGAAGCAACGTGCACACCCTGGCAAAGAAGGGCTCCTTCAAGAGATTACTGACTTACACAAGCAAATATGTGGGGAGGGGGCAAGAAGAGAGCAGGGAATTGTCTTTGAAGTGGGGTAAGGAAGAGGTGTCTTAACGGCAGAGTCCTGGAGGGGAGGCAAACCTCTCTGCATCCTGAGCCACCATCCCGCTGCCAGTCTCGGCCGATAGCCAAACGCCTGCACCACTTCCTCTCCGAAGTCATCATTTCCAACCTGTTCAGCCCATCAACACTCCTATAAAAGATAACTTTCATAAAGAAGAACTCATCTCCTTCACCCTGAGGCTCTCCATGCTCTCCTGTCAGCCAGCAAGCAGCCAAATGCCCCTGCCCTGCACCAACCCCTTGCTGTGCTGACCCTGAGCTGCTGCTGAGGAGAGCAGTAAATGTTCTAAGGCACCTTTTAGCTCCCTATGTGGGCAATGCACACAGAGCCATTGCAATATCCATAACACACCGACCAACCCAAAGGCCACGGGCTTGTAATGCAGGGCAAGATCACAGCCATGTGTTTTGAGTCATCCCTGTCCAAGGGATTGCTGCCATTTGCCTTTAGCTTGCAAAAGTGGTTTTGTGCTCAACTGTCCCGCTGTGCCCAGTCCCTTCCCACTGCTGCCACGGTGTCTGAGATGAAATAATGGGGCAGAAGAGCTTGGGGAGCTGCTGGGGCATAGTAGGGATGGGGCAGCCCCACCACAGCCAGGCCCCTGCCCTGGTAAAACACGTCTGCAACCTCTAAGAGGGTTGTAAGTTCAGCTTCATCCTCCTCCCTCCTTCACAGCCAAAGGCAAATAATAAAGAGCTTATATGGGCTTAATTTGTAATGCTTTAAACGATACATTTTTGAGGTTCTGTTACCAAGAGCAGGGTGTTTTCAAAGGAGGCCATAGAAAGCCAAAGCAACTGCCCGCTCCATCACACCACTGCCTGCTTCATAGCCAGCCCCACAGAGACCCCAGGCTTCCAAGGACACCCTCCTGTTGTTGAGACAGACCCAGTTATAGGAGGAAGGCATCAAACACCAGCTCCAAATCTGGAGCCCAAATACCAGAAGTAACAAACCAGATGGGACCCGGACCCTGCTCCGGGACCCGGACCCTGCTCCAGGACCCAGCAGCCAGGCACAGCCCCAGCACCAGGCCCACAGCTACAGCCCCATCCCCACGTTCCTCCCTGGAAACAGATGCTGGGTTGTGCTCACTTCCAAGTCCAAAGAGGTTCTGCAGCATCTCGTGGCTCTTGTCCTCTTGCAACGCTGCTGGAGCCAGGCGGGCAGCACCGCTCCTCGCACCATGGGGCAGGATTGGCCCCACTCCCTGCCTTCCCCCCGTGCTCAGCGCTGCACCAATGGTTGTGAATGGTGAGCCCTGTGGTGTTCGGGCTGTTGGGTTTGGGTTTTGTGTTTAAATCCTGCCCTCTCCCCTCCGCAGAGCTGTCAGGGATGAAAAAGGGCTTTTATCACCCAGGCAAGAGTCACTGGTGGGGAGGGAGGTTCCTAAACTAACTAGAAACATATGGGACTTCATTTAAAAAAACAAGAAAACAACAAAACAACCTTTTTCATTTCCAGAGCAAAGCCAACAAGAGCAATTTACAGCCACTGTCCATGTTCCCATCG